TTAGCCGACTACGGCTCAGATTCAGAATGATCTTGATGTATTGTACAATAGGCACTTGGTGTCCCTGCTCTTTACGTTCGTGCTCTCCGTCGCGAGTTGCTGCGCCTGCGGACTACTGATGCGGTATCATTGAAATGTACATGATGCCTCGTCCCTCTGGGCTTGAGGGATACTAGCTTGCATGCACTGGAACATCAGCAACGGGGCCTTTGGATCACTAAAAGCGCTTAGGTCTTATCTATATCGCATATTTTATAATATTACATACTAGCTTTCAAAAAAGGCAGTTATTACAATATTTGTAGGCTTGAGATTCATGTGTATCAAGTTTAAGATACCAATACTTACAGTACTTGATGTTGAATTTCCCATCAGGTGGTCAGGAGGGCCACGCGAGTCTGTTCGCTTCAAGAATTACACTTCACCATGCTCACTTAGCACACCATTAATTACGAGCTAGTGTGAGCTACATCATTGCCACCTATGCAATCATGATAGTTTGGAGCCAGTAAGAACATACTCCGCTTACTCAACCCTCTGGTCAAAACAAAAGACACATAACGAGCTGACCTGTAATTCTCTTCTTTTCCAGTGCTCAACTCACCTCATTGTGAGTAGCAAAAACCTCTCTCTTCTCCGCCTCCTCCTCCAGCCTCCGCTGTAAATCATGAGGAACATAATCCTCCTTACGCTTTCCCGCCACAATCCACGGAGAATTCGAGAACAAATAGTTCATCTCTTCCAGCGGCAATTTCTTCGTTTCAGGAAGCAAGAGCCAGAAGAACACCGCATTCGTGAAATTGCAAATGATGAAGAGGAAGTAGTATCGATAACGCACACTCTCCATGGCAATGGGTGTCACCTGCCCGATCATCGTGTTGAACGCATACGATGTCATAGTAGCCAACGAAACACCCTTCGACCGCGTTCGGGTGTCGAATACCTCGGCCGGGATGATCCAGGACAGAGGGCCACATGTGCACGAGAATGAGAAGTTGTACAGCCAAGTCATGATGATAAAGCCCCAGTGGGCTCCGGTGTTGTGGCTTTCTGGGGGGAACTGTGCTAACAGGATGCAGGCAACGATGAACGTGACCATGTTTCCTAGGTTACCCCAGATCAAACTCCAGCGGCGACCGACTCGGTCGATGAAGAGAATGCAGAGGAATTGGGCCACGAGGGCGATGATGGAGTTGATAGCTTGGTATTGTAGCGTTTTTTCGCCGCTAATGCCAATCTGACCATAGATGGTTACAGAGTAGTATCTATCAAAATAGTGGTGAGCCTCTGGAAATATAAGTGTATGAAATTCAAGGGAGTACTTACTGAATTGCAGACACGCCGGTCATCTGTACGGACGCCTGCAATGAGCAACAAAGGAACAGGCGACGGAAGGACGACCGTGATGTAAAGAGTTCCTTGTAGGACTTGGCTTCGTGCTCATGCTCATAGACAATGCTTTCTTGGATCTGGTTAAATTCTGCACGGACCCAGGGATCCTCTTCGTTGCCATGGGCATGGAGCATTGCCAGTGTCTTCAGGCCTTTCTCGTGCTGACCGTGGTCAATGAGCCATCGTGGTGACTACTACTTGTCAGCATAAAAACAAGTGAACAATAAGGTATTGCGTACCTCAGGGAAAAGCATGATCAAAAGCCCCAGAAAGACAGCTGGTGCAATCTGCAGTCCAAGGGGTAGCTGCCATTGTGTGTCATTGGTGTCGGAGAATCCGATATATGTGCCATATGAGATCCAGGCAGCACATAAAGACCCAACTCCTAGCATGAATTGCTGCAGAGCAGTAACACGACCACGAATGTCCGGATGGCAGATCTCAGCCTGGTACAAAGGGATAATCATAGTAAGGAAACCGACCCTGCAAACAGATTAACCCATGATTTTGAACGGTCGCTGGGCATAGAATATCATACCCCAGGCCGGCAAAGAACCTTCCGCTATAGAGGAAGGCAACAGTTCGTGCTCCAGTCTGAAGACCACCTCCGAGGCAGAAGAGAACACAACCGACAGTAATGGTCCATCGTCGGCCTAGCTTGTCACCACTAGGACCTGCAAACGCTGCACCAAAGAAAGCACCTGCGGTGAACATGGACACCACAAGTCCACTGCGGGATGTCAGAACACTTCAACATGCTAGCGAGGGCTAGCGACTCACGATTGAGTGTCATTTAAGTTGAATCTGGATATGAACGACCCGCAGGCGATGACTTCAGCGATCACACCTAGATCGTCTGCCGAGACTAGTGTTAGGCCCCGTGGATCCACAGCAAGGAGGAAGAATGTACACACATCCATACAAGAATGAACCCAGCGAGGCGAAAACGCCTACTAGGAACTGAAAACTCAGTTAGTCCATGTTTTTAGCAGGTAATTAGAAGGTTGACTGACTTGATACCATGCTGGGGAGAGACGCATGATGGAAGAAGCGCTCCTAAAGCTTTAGTGTCTCAGATCACTAAGCTGAGCTAAACGACAAAAATGCGGAGACCAAATCTGGGGTACAGGACCCTCAGCCATTTAAGAACATCTGGGGATTGAGCCGCGTATTCAACGAGTATAGCCATTCTATGGGTCATATTAACCTCATGCTTCACTGAAAAGGACATGAGCATCTCGGTTAATTGAAAATTAAACGAGGCCGTCGGCGAGGAAGCCATTTGGGATCATGTTTTAGGAATCTCAGGATCCAACGCAACCGAAGCCACTGAACAAAATGCCATGCGTGACCTATCGCTAACGACTACCCTGGTCAAGCCAAGTAACGCTTGGTCGATACGGGATTGGTACCAGTATGCACGGTTTCTGGACCAAGAAAAGATTCCCGTCTGACAAGCGTGCTGATTGATGGAATATTGCCGTGGCGTTGCCTCGGCTTGATCCCCAAGCCAACGGCGTCAGAGCACCTTGCATCTCATCCACTCCCGACGCCCTAACAGACCATCATCGCGTGGTGCACACGAGAGTCAGTCGCAGGTCTGGAATCACCCCGCAGGGGATTTCCCCGATTTATGCGGGACTCCAGGTAATAGCTCCCGCACATTAATATCTGTTGCTAGTCTGCCATCGTACTGGCTTTCGACAAATCCTCTCTGGTAGAGTTTACCGTCTTGATTACCTCCATACCAATTCAGATTAGGTTATTACTTACCCTACTGGGAGCCTTGTCAAATCATTCGCGCCATGACCACCTTCACCAAGCTTAGTGACCAGGATGCGCCTAGTATTTCCATCCACCCAGAGAGGCGTCTTTCCAAGATCAATCCGAATATTTACGCGGGGTTTACAGAGTAGGTCTATCGATCAAGACTCATTTGCCTTGTGGGCAATCGAGCAGTGTGCTCATGTATTATCAGGCACATGGGCAGATGCATTTATGGGGGCATCTATGATCCAGGCAATCCACTGTCAGACGAGAATGGTTTCAGGAAGGATGTCCTCGAAGCTTTGAAGGAGCTCAACATCCCTGTCGTCCGATACCCCGGTGGGAACTTCATGGCGACTTATCATTGGATCGATGGGGTTGGGCCGAAGGAGAAACGGCCTGCTAGGTATGTCCACATGATCATTTAGCCTTCCACATATGTCTCGTACATGTGCTTTACCTCGTTTCTGTTTGATCTCTCATGGGATAGTGTTTTTTTCTTTTTCGTTCCTACAGATGTTGTAAGGTTAATCTCACTTCTTCTATAGACCTGAGCTGGCATGGTTGGGAACAGAGACCAACCAGTTCGGCACTGATGAATTCCTGAAATGGTGCGAAGTCCTAGGCACTGAGCCCTACTTCTGCCTGAACTTTGGAACTGGTAATGTGATCCATCCTACTTGAAGCGCAAGCGCTGACGTATAGCCAGGTACTCTTGACGAAGGTAACTTATCCTAGCTCTGTACATGGCACATCACTAATGGGCTCTGGTATAGCGCTGGCGTGGGTCGAGTACTGTAACGGAACTAAAGATACATACTATGCTAATCTTCGGCGGAAGAATGGTCGCGAGGAGCCATACAATGTATGATCCCGAATGCCCTATTCCTCAGGCTTCCTATGTACTCATTCAATGTTCCAGGTCAAATACTGGGCCCTGGGCAACGAGACCTGGGGTCCCTGGCAGGTCGAACAGATGACCAAGGAAGCATATGCTCACAAAGCCTATCAATGGGCCAAGGGTAAGCCATCTGTTGCTCTTCTCATAAACACCTACTGATACGGTCTATAGCCTTGAAGCTCCTTGATCCCAGCTTGATCTTGGTTCTCTGTGGACAAGATGGCACAGCTTCATGGGACTACTACACTCTGAAGCAGTGCCTGCTCCCAGCACACTCCCCTCTATCTACCAGCACTGTACCTCTCATCGACATGCACAGCATCCATCTATACACAAGCTCTCCCTCCCATCTCCCCAATGTCACCGCCCCACTAGCCGCAGAGCGTGCCATCGAAATCACCTCGTCTCTAATCGATCTCGCCCGGATCGAGAACGGGGTTCCACCCGATCAACACCGACCCACCATCTGCTTCGACGAATGGAACGTCTGGGACCCAATTCGCGCAGAGGGCAGCAAGGGTGCAGAAGAGTCCTACACTCTCTCCGACGCGTTAGCCGTGGCCGTTTACTTGAATGTGTTTGTCAGGAAAAGCAAAGACCTGGGCATGGCATGCATCGCGCAGAGCGTTAATGTCATCTCCCCACTCATGACAAGCAAGGATGGCATCACTAAGCAGACAACTTACTGGCCGTTGTACCTGTTCTCGAAGTATATGCGGGGATGGACTATCAGTGTGCATCTGTCTTGTGCTTCGTATGAAGGGGAGACTTCTCCGAAGTGGGTGCGCGGAGTCAAAGATACGCCTTGGTTGGATGTTAGCGCTACCCTCGGTGAGGATGGGTATGTGAATGTTGCGGTGGTCAATATCCATGAGGAAAAGGATATCACGAGCAACATTGATGGGCTGGCTGGGCCGGTCTCGATCTTTACTGTTACTGGAGAGAGCGTCCAGGCTTGTAATATGAATGGCAAAGAGGAGGTTGTGGTGACCGAGAGTACAGGGGAAGCGAAGGGACAATTTGTGTTCCCGAAGCATTCTTTGACTTTGTTGAGGTGGAAGCTGGAGTAAATAATGATTGGTATTCGCTATATAGATAGGTTGGGCAGGGTACTCCACAATCTCAGACAGTGCCGTCTGATAGAATGCTATATGATTCATCATTGTTGGAGTGGAAGACTACATCATCTGAGTAAGTGATAGGATATCACACTATACCGAACAACAATATTTCAGTATATTTCTCTCGACATAGTACATAAAAGTATCGTCCCATAATATCGTAACAAGTCACATCACATCTTTATAAGTCGTAATCCAGACATCAAGTATCACCCTCTAACCAAAGGTCACATTATGAACAGTACCATCATCGCCCAAGTGGATGTTCATCCTAAAATAAAACACAAGTCCATCAGCATTTGAACAGTATACAGATACAAACAAGTATCTAGCAAAGGTAGACTAACCGTTCTGGCCTCATATCCATGGTCATGGCATCCCCAGGTTTAAGCACACGATGTTGCTGGGGGAGGTCCTTTTTCGCGAATGACTGTATCAAAAATTATGTCAGCCTAAAACCAAAAAGATCCCATTAGAGATAGAAAGAGAAGAAGAGAGCCATACAGTCACATCACTCGATGACTCAGTTAGCTTCTTGCCTGCCAGCTTGTTAAGCCACTCCTCTTGGCTGGCACCACCAGAGGTGTTGTTGATTCCGGGGACGACGAGAGGCATGGTTGTAGTTTGCTTTGTATCTTCGAAGTCGAGATGAATTCTTGATTCTTCTGTGTAATAGAATGATAAGTGGAGATAGATAAGTTTGGGTTTGGAAGTGGGAGATAAGCCTGACAGGCACCCTTCATTACTTATATATACTTTTTGTTACATTGGGACCCTGGCGATGACATCATGCCGGTGTATGGGGCTGGGGTGTGGCGGTGCTGATGACGTCGATCTGTTTCGGGACTAGCGCGATTACATACGAGATGTATACTTCTTACATGATGGCTTCACTTTTGGATTTGCTTTTAGAATTAAGAAGGGTCGTGTCAATCAGAATTATTATTGAAGTTGAGTACTTCGGTGTGTCAGGAACTTGTACAGATTCCTGGCAGTGTCCATACTCACTGCCTAAAGGCAGAATATATCGCCAATATATATAAAAAGATTTATACTGATCTTTCTCTCGATTTTTACCTAGTGCTTGAATAACATCATCATGCTAGCACATAGTACTGATTTGAGAATTGGATGCCGAAAAGCTCAATACTTAGTAGGGCCATTAATAGAGAAATGCCCCTTTCGGGCGCTACTATGTTAACCTCAGGTTCCACATTTATACTTGAATCTAGGAAACCACAACCCAGCTGTGAATCTCAGAGCAGTTGCCTCTATTATTCGCCGATATCATTTGAGCCGTGCTGCAACGGACAGGTTACTTGTTCTTTGACACTCTAAAACGTTCCTGACATGCTACTGACTATACGCATTTGCTCTAATGGCAGCGATTATCAATATACAAGCTACCGTCATCGAACAGTTGTATTGCACCTTCGATCTTTATATACACCACACGTCCCATTTTTAGACTTTCTTGCCTGCACCGAAAGAAAACCGGCAAACTACACGGCTGTTTGCTTCACAGCCCCGCGTGCCTGATGCTGTTGGCTTCTATTGTGCCCTCAAGGGCCACTACCACATCCAGCAGGGCTCTGGGGCAGCAGCCACGGACGTCTGCCGGGATACTGGAAAGCACCTACAGCTTGCTAAACAGAGACTATGGGGACATGCACTTGTGGAGTAGGAACAGTGAGATTGTCAAACATCGGCTAGACACTGTCCTTAGTGGTCTTGATTATACGAGGGATCCCCAGCTTGCAACTCGTTCAAACACCCCATCGCAGGGAATGGCTACAATTGAGGACGGTGCAGCACAGGTTGGAAGCTCTCAGATAAACCTACATGCAGACGCTCGGAGACCAGGGTATATGAATCGGAATTGGATACCGCATTGGAGTTACCAGAAAAGCTCCCTTGCTGCCGCGTGCATATTCACGGCCGTCACAGTAATGGCTTTAACCTTCTTGGCTATCCTATCCATCAAGAAGGCTAAAAGAAGCTGGGGGCGACATAAACGTGAAAATCAAGATTATTCGAATTCCGGATATTCTGCTCTCTCCTTGCTCGAGGAAGGCCACAAAATGACTGCGACGAGCAGCAAGCAGATAAGCCGAGAGACTTTGATGTTCAGTAGGAGTCGCTCGCCATCTTCGACCTATCTCATTGAACAAGACGGTCCCTCCGTGACGAGAGTTTACCACACGAGCAAAAGCGTCTCTACCATTACGCTCGACTCGCCCAGCTCTACCCTGGGGGATGCAGGCTCTACAACTGAGTTGAACGCAATACCGGAACGTCCAGCCAGCGCGTTGAAACGTTCCCGCAACGAACGTCATGGCTCGAAGGCCAGATCAATCGTTGTCGTACCATCACCCTTGAGGGCATTCTCGGTGAAGCCGATGATACACCACACAGACCCAGCCTACGGCCTGGAGCGGACTTCTCTGAACGTCGAACATGAGGGTGGTAATGTCCCGTCGAACAGCAAGCGTGACTCCGCTGGTGGAAACAGCTTGTTCAAACTACCAGCAATCCAAAGAACAATGTCGCCTCTTTTCTCCTTTTGATTTTACAGGACTATGGGATGGTGTGCTTGTTGGGTACGTGTTTGGTCTAGTCACATCAGACTTGAAGTTGTATTTTCCAAACCGGAACTGGGAGTCAGGGACTTTTTGTCTTCTTTCTTTTCCCTTTCTGTCCCTATAGAATCTTTCTTCTCGTCATGATACAAACAGCTGTACGAGGCCTTATTACTCTTCGAGACCGAAGGAACAAGGAGGTCATGCACCTTCTCAATAGCCAAAAGTTACTGAATCCAGGTCCAGTTCCCAACTTTTCATTCCATAACCAGTGCAATCTACATATTGGGAGAAGCTAGGGTCCAGCAAAAGACTGAGACACGATATATATCCAATACAGCAAGCAGCACGGCATTCCTTCTGCCCTAGTCATCTAGTACGCTCTCAAAGCAAAGAGATCATCCATGATAACCCAGCTTAAGAGAAAGCCAATCGACACTGCTTTAGTGTTTAAACAAGCCACCACTCTCCTACAAAACAAACCACAAATATCATCACATCGTCGGATTTATATTAGTAATATATGAATATAGGTTAGGTTAACAACGCAGCTAAGCAGTCCTCTAGACGCATCACAAGCCGAGTGACAAGCGACCAGACCAACCAACACAACACAACACAACACAACGTCAAAGCAGACCAAGATCATAAATGGCAACAGAGCACACAACACCGGTCAGTCAGTAAAACAATAAATCAATAATAAGTCTACAGAGCTTGCCATTTATAACAGGACCAGAAGGATGAAATGAGAGATACCGGGTGAAGAGAGTGAAAAGCGAAACGCACTCAAATGAAGGGGAAGAAAAAAGCAAATACACCGCACCGCCGTACATGCATGATTTGTAGTAGTAGTAGTAGTAATGAAGAATAATAGGATGATACAACAGGGTGAATGAATAAATGAAAGTAAACAAGATCTATCGCATCTCACGCACTCCACGCAAACACCGCTCTAGGCGCTTGCCTCGTTCGCGTTCTCGAACTAAGGTTGCTCGGACGAAGGAGCGGATGGCATCTCGTCCGACTTTCTCGCGCCAGGTGGTCCAGCCTGCTAGCTCGCCGACAACCACGTCCTTGTTCCACGTAATTTCGCGGGAGAGACGAGCGATCTGGAGTTCGGAGTCCTGGATCTTGGTTTCGAGGTCGCGGACGGACTTTTGACGGGATTCTTCAAGTCCCGGGAAATTGATGTTGAATTTCCGGGGGAGGGAAGAGGATACGAGGGATGAGCGGTTGCGGGAGAGGTTTCTGTTTGTGGAGGATAGGTTGTTTATGAGGGAGATGGGACGAGAGAGGGATGCTAGGATGGCGGTTGTGGTGTTGTCGATCGAGGTCAGGGCCGTGAGGAATTGAAGGAGAGGAGAAGAGTCGGAAGATGAAGTGGAGAGATGGGTTGCATAGCGGGTGAACGCGTCCACATAGGAGGCTGGTAGAGCGTTGGTCGGTTCCTTGAGGGTTGAGACAACGGAGGCACAGAGGGCCACGGCGTCTGCAATGTCGGATGCAGAGTTTTGGAGAGCGTGACCGCGACGGAGCAAACTGCGAGTGTTGACGTGGACGGCGCGAACCATGTCCTGGGCGTGGGAGACAAATTGCTCTGTCTCGCGCATGCCCTCGGGTGTGACGGGTTCGTAGTCGTCGTTGATGGACTCTGTGAGAACCTGGGCTTTGCGCTGCGAGCGGTCTGCCATCATCTCGGGTTGCAGTTCGGGAACCAGAAAGAACTCCCACAGCATCTCGTGAGTGGCGAAAGTTGGATGCGTGAGCAAGACCTTGAGGAACCTGTCGAGCTTCTCTTGCATGTCATGGAGCACAGAACGGGACGGTTTGGAATGAATCTGGAAAGGGCTACGGAAGTCGGACAGAGACGGCATATAGGAAGCCGGATGCTCGATGGACAGGCACTTGGCAAGGTTCTCAAAGTCAGAGAACGTGCGACGGCATGTGGTGACTGTGAAGGTTGTCCCTGACGCAGGACGGGACTCTGCCGAGTTCACCACTGGATTCGGGGCACCGGACTTGAGAACAAAGCGCACTGTCGCATCCTCAACAAAGTATGAGCGCACCACCGTCGTGACACGACCAGACTGCTCGTCGTAGGCTGACGGAGGGTTAGAGAGAAGGATGAGATCGTCAATGCGATTGCGCACTTCATCATCCTTAGCAAGTTCGACAGCAGTCAATCCACGGCTTTCTTTCAGGTGAACATCAACTCTGGGGTCCATGAAGAGGATCCGGACCTGATCGATGCGGCCGTACTTGCTGGCCATCATGAGAGGAGTAAACCGTTTATCATTTGTCGCATTCGGATCACAGTCACATTCTTGCAAGAGGCGGATGGTAATTTCCGGGTCGCTAACGATATGCAACAATGTATTGCCTCTAGAGTCGACATGATTATCGAGGCGCAAGGGCTTGCCATCACCTTGGGCGATTTGGGCGGCCGTGAGTGCTTCTTTCACCATCGAGTTGTAGTCCGGGTGATCGTAAGACCTGCATAGAGCGAAAAGTGGCGTCTGTCCATGCTTATCGCGTTGACACCACGGCAGTAGTCCCTCCAACCTATGCATTACCGATGGCGTGCTGAAGAGGTAGTGTGCAACCGTACGCCCATGCATGTCTGACTTCTGCAGGTACGATGCAATGGTGTGCTTATCCGTTGAACTGAATAGGAAGTTCAATAGAATGTCCACCATTTCGACATGAGCAAGCTGAACAGCGGCACTAAGTAATGTTGTTCCATTTGTATTTGTGTCCTCGAGAATATCCGCCAGCGGATAGTAATCTTGAAGGCTCAGCAGGTATTTCAAGGCGTCTGGCTGGCGGCTTTCTACAGCCATCATCGGAATCGAGTCGCCTGCAGGATCTTGCGTTTTCGTCAATGTCTCAATTGAACTGTCCCCCTCAATCGCGCTTGAAATGGAGCCCATTCCCGTTGTCCGGGAAGCCAAAGATATCCCAGATGATTCAGACAGGCTGCGGACATCCATGGAAACCTTCTTCACAGGGCGTCGGATCTCTTTCGGAGGGGCCGTGTTCGTCCACGTCTGGAAAGGAAACACATGAGAAAGGGGAGGTGGCTCAGAGGGTTCCTCATCATGCGCCGTCCCACTAGGAATATTCATTTCGAACGGTGCATCCTGCAAAAGCAAGGGCTCATGTGGACTTTGACAAAGATTATCCTCGTCATGCGTCCGAAACGCAACAGTTCTTTCTTCGGGCTCACACGGAACTTCGTCTAGCGACTCCTGATCGCCATTTGGCTCTAATATGGCCTTCATGTCAACGACACGTCCGCCTTTGGTTGCATTCCATAAGCGCCTGTTCCGAATACTGGCTCGCCGGAGACCCGCAGAATCAGTCACCAGGTAGGTAAGGACAGCCTCGAGAGTGCTCAACGCATAGCCCATTTCACCACTGTCAACATCGTCGATGTATATGAAATGTTGCATGTACATCAGCCTTGCCTGCAGGTTCTTCACTTGGGATCTGATGACCACAACCAGCAGCAATGAAACCAGAATATCAGCGTTGATCGTTACCGGCGCGTATTGCTTTTCCGATGCAAGAGACTCCGCTCTATCGTAATTCCCAGGATAAGACAGGAGCTTAATTGTCTGAAGTAGAGTGCTCAACATGTCGTGGGGGCACTTGGCGTCTAGCATTTTGCGGAACTCTTCCACTGCTCTCCCAATGCGCTGTAGCAATTCCCGTTTACCCTCTCGTCCACCATCGACAACTATGCCCACCTGCGAGATGTCAATGTTTTCCATGTAACGAATCCTAGAGTCTAGCTCTGCGTCTTCTGGCTGGCGGAAACTGCAAAGACGAGGGAAGAGAAGAGATTCGTGCACCTGCTCAGCGACGTAGCGCTCGATGAGCCTTTCCACCAACGGCCCCGTGAGATCGGTGGTGGCACCTAGAAAAGACAACTGCTGCTTATCCACTAAACGAAACAGGTCAATTGCGGCAGTAACAGCTGTTTCCAGACTTCGACGCATCAGATCCTCGTCATCCTCGAAGTACTCTTCGGAGTTGAAGGGTAGGCCCTCCCTATTGCGAGAAGCGGAACTACGGATAGAAGCAGATTCGTCGGCGGTTATCTCGTTGTTGTTCTGCTTCCGTTCGTATTCGTCGAATATGAGGGGCGAACGAGACGGCGGAGGTGGCAACGGTTTCCCCAGCTCCTTTCCAAATTCCTTGAACAATCTCTCCAATCCAGGTTGCATCTGCCGGGCAATCATTGGGAAGTGCGCGAGAAGTTCCCCAAATGTCTTGATCTCCTTCTTCGGTGGCGACGAAACGGACTCGTTAGACTTCATGCCGTTGCCTATGATATCGCGCTTGGGTAACATGCCCGGCACTACAGCAGTGACGATCTTTCCGGGATCGAATGAGCCGATCAACGGCCGTGAGATGTAGTAGATCAGCCATGGTTGAGAGTCGTTGCTATTGTTGTAGTACAGCGCATCGGATAACAGCTGGGCTTGGCTCAGGGACTTGAAGCCTAAATATAAGGGTCAGCGCAGGTGCTAATCAGGAGACTAGCCGGATGCCTTCCCACCTTTGTTACTATACACCGAGTTCTCCTTGATAATAACCGTGCGCCCGTTGACCGTCGTCACTTGTTTGGCCTTGCCCCGGCTATCTCGTATATTTGAGTCATCCTTTCCCCCGCCGGCCCCGGTGGACACTGGTATTCGCAAGGTATGGCTTCCCAAGAATTCTTCGGATACGACGAGATCGGAGTAGTAGAGGGATGACTCGCGGTCGCGCGAGCCGACCAGCGATTCCGTGACAGGTACTAGGAGGACCTAAAGTGGGCATGTCAGAGGTTGGGCTCAGGCCGGAGCCGATAGAGTTGGCGGGACATACATGATTCTCGGTGGGTATACACTGCCCCGGAACTGTGCTTCGGAAGAAGGCACGGAGGAAGGGATTTAGAGGGTGCATCCAAACGGTCTTGGACGACGGCCCAACACAGAATCACAGGCACTCATGAAGCCGTCTAGACCGGTCTCGAAGGGGGGATCCGCTGCTCGATCGTCGCAGAGGAGCAGCTCCGGCGCATGCGCCCGCAGGTAATCGGAAACAGTGCAGTCTCAACGAAAGAGCTTAGGAAGAAAGCGCAAAGAACCAGTCGGAAGAGACAGAAGTCAACGTCACGATGGACAGGCTAGAAGCACAAGTTGAGCGACGAGTGAGAGTGAGGGAGTTGTTGAGGACAAGAGGGGGATCTC